TGAGGTTGTACGTTGTGCTGTGGGGTTGGTGCAGGGGCATTGAGAGGTGGGAGGGTTGGTGGTGGAGGTTGTGTTAAGGAAGGGTTTGGAAACTGCTGGTGGGTGGGTATACCAGTATGGGAAGGAACGGGGTTTGATGAGTTCTTGTTTTCGACTTGTTCGGTTTTGGGGATTTGCAGCTTGGCAATCTTCAGCTCAGCTTCGATGATTTCCTCTTTGTCCTTTATGAACTGTACGCCTGTCTGCACCTGTCGAAGGTATTGACGTGCCGGAAGATTAGTCAATGCAATTTAAACATGATGAAAATGGCGAAAAGAGGGTTGAAGTTATAAATTTCTATGCACTGCAAAGGGAGATCCCCAGTACTACATAAATTCTAGAAATTAAAAAAAAAAAATGCAATTCGTTCTAGAGTTGATGTTCGGATCTAATTTAACAAGCTCCAAGGGATTGCACACATAACTATTGAATTGGCATGTGCACACACCAAAAGGAAAAAAGGTACAAGAACACAAAACAATGTACCAAAAATTTGAGAGGAGAAAATATTGCCAACACTATATCAGCTAGATGAGTTCAAATATCTGCAACCCCATAACAGTAAAAGAAATGGAAGGTACCTCTGTAAGAACATTCTCCAACGACCTCATTTTTCCATCAGACCTGCCATGGTTGTTCTCAATAATAACCTTTAGATCATCAACAGAATTTTCAATATTGCGAGTCCTTGTTTCCAATTGTGTTAATCGTGCACTCATTTTATCAACTGCATGCATCACATTGTCCATATGCTTCTTCATTGTCCTGTCAATTTCAGAAACTAACGACACATCCAAGGACACATCACTGGAGTTGTGATTTCTCCCCAAACTGAAGTTAGCAGGTTCATCAGCAACAGGAGAACTGTAATTCTGGGGAAGAAAAAGGAAACCGAGACAGAAAATCATCATAAGACAACAGATCATCTATGTAACAGAAAAAAACAAATGTCCTTATAATTAATTTGCCCCTGATCACCAAAAGTGCCATTTCCTCTTGAAACAATGAGCTGCCACAGAAATGAATTGTCATAGCTATTACATCAACAATTAAAGTACGAAATGCAAAATCCAAAACGAGCTCTGGAAAACAAATGATGAAAACTACGCAGTTCAAGAACTCAGCTCCAAATGAAACAAAGCAAACTGCTCCTCATCCTTTATAAGACCACCACGGTTGCAATTCAAACTAATTAATAAAACAACTCATACACATAACTGGATCAACACATGAAATCGAACAGCAGAAAATCAGATTCAATCACACATAAATAAAAAGACGAGTTATCAAGAGAGATGAAGTTTAGAGAAATACTCGGACAGGAGAAGCGCCGATTTTGGAATCCACAGAATTCCAAGTCCTCATCGGCGCATCGTCGTTGCCGGAACCCAAATTCGACGAACGTCCGGCAGTCGGCGACGATGATCCCAAAGATGGCCTAATCGGCACGAAATCGTAGCTGGGAACGATATCGTCCTTCTTCTCAGCAGGCCGATTCATGAGATCGATGAAGTCATTGTTGCCGCCGGCGCTGCTGATATGAGCAGTGATAGGACTCTGGGAATCGGAGAGATCCATGATCTGCTTGTCCATGTACTGCGGCTTCGAATTGTTATTCATCTGAGTACTCAAATCATATACAGGCAAAAGAAGAATCCCTACGACATGCGCTTGTACCAGTGAAGAGGATCGAGATTGGTTTTGGGATTAGGAAATGATTTTGCCCCTTTTGGAGTACTTTTGCAGACTGTATCACTTTGAAGGGGAGATTTTTTTTATACGGTATGGATTTGAAGTCGCCAAAGACCTTGTTGGTCGTACAGATTAGCTCAAACTGGAGAGAATTGGAGCAGATGGAACTGCAGAGAAGTTGCTAGATATTGCTTCGCTTGGTCATTTCGGCCGATAATGGGCCTCTTTAGAAAGCCCAATATGGAATGTTTTGAATCTGCTATTTTATTAGAAGGCTGTTTTAAAAATTTTAATTCATTTTTTATTGTTGAATGTAGGGAAAAAAAAAAAACAAAAAGTTAGCTCTACACTAAATCTTTTTATAAGCACATGATCAATCAATCAACATACCCAGTATATTCCTAAACGGGTTGGGGTCTGGGAGGTCAGTTGTACGTAGATCTTACCTTTATAATTATACAAGGAGGTTGTTTCCATAGCGACCCAAGATGCATTGCGTCGTTTGATATATTTTTTCTAGAAATTTCACTAATAGAAGAAGCACTAGAATTTGAATTGAGCCATTTTGATCTAGTCCATTATTAGCACTATACCAGGAGAATTGTCAACAATGACTCTTCCAGCTCCATGTGCAATGGACAGATTATAAGCACATGATATTCAAATAATTATATATAAAAAATCATAAACGTGTTATCAATTAAAAAAGAATGTAATTTAAAAAGTAATGGATAAAATAAACTACAAATCAATCATCATAAACAATCCATCTACTTTGACAAAGCAATCCATCTAAACTCACAGTCAAGAAAAATGATGCTCACCTGCAAATTACAAGATAGATTACACTCTTTCATTTCCAAAAAAGAATCCCTTTTAAATACAAAAGGAAACAAGAAAAAGGAAAATGAGCATTTGGATCAACAATTGTGACCAACGTTCCAAAGTTTACACCTTTTCCTTTCCCTTTACAATCAACTTCTACAAAAAAAATTAGATACAAGATTTACACAAACTTGAATCTCTTCGACTGCTCCTTTGATAATCACAAGGAAGATCAATCTATGACACTCTTGAACCGAAGTATTCACTTTTCGATTGTACATCAGAACTCTGTATGCTTGAAGACTCGGTCGACCGATATGATGCTTCGTATTTCCTCATAACGTTCGAGTTTAAACTGTTTATGCTGTATGATGATGACCCAGTTGAGCTTGTCGAGAAGGGATGTGTTTGCAGAAATGGAGGTTGCTTTGGTTCTGGGATTTCATAGTTTTCGTTTGTGAGCATTTGGACAACTTCTGCCATTGATGGCCTCTCTGTAACAGATGCTTGAGCACACAAAAGCCCGATTTTCAACGCTTTTGATGCCTCCATTGCTGGAAATTCGCCTTTTAAGCAAGGATCGACTGCTTCTGGTAATCTATCCGTTTTGAAATGATTCCAAACCTGAAACCATAACAACAAGATCAAACAATGATTATGCAACAAAATCGAAAAGCTCCCGTGCATGTTATTTTTTTTTCCTGTTTTTTGTAATTTATGAATACATTTAGACTGTGTTTAGTAAACATATAAGCTAGCTTATAAGCTTCTTGTATTCAAATAAGTTAAGTTTGATTTGGTAGGGCGAAACTTTTTTAAAATGATCAAGTTTTTCTCATAAGCTTCTTCGTTGGGTAGCTTTTAAATAATCCCATTGAAACTTTTGTTTCAGCTAATTTTACTATGTACTTTTATCATATAAGCTAGTTTTTCAGCCATAAGTTATATAAGCTATCAGCTACGAAATTCACTTAAAAACTATTAAGTATAAACTAGCTTATCGTCTAGATTTACCAAACATAGTCTAGTAGTTAGCTGATTCTAAATAGTAAAATGGAAAAGTATCGAGTGAACAAGAAAAAAGATTTGGAAAATTACTGCTTGCAGAAGGGATCCAGAGCCCTCCATGAAAGCATTGTTTTTCCTACTGCAAACGATTTCAAGAACCAACACGCCGTAACTATAAACATCAGCCTTCTCAGTAAGCTGTCCTTTTACTAGGTACTCTGGGGCCATATATCCTCTGCACAACAAAAGCCATGCATCACCACATGAAAAAGAAAATCACAAAAAATACTATGGACTTTTTTAATTTAGGCAAAAATGCATTTTTTGTCCTGTTGGTTTAACGTCATAGCAATTTTAGTCCCAAAATTCCAACTTTTTACCTTTTGCTCCTGTGATTCAATATTTGCTGCAATTTTAGTCAAATAATTTTAGAATTTAAGTCCTTTGAATTTAAGTCCTTTGATGACTGAAATGGCACAAGAAAATGAAATTACAGACCTTAAATTGCTAATCGAAAATCTAGGAATTTAGAAATTTGTTGTAATCTCAGTCCTCAAAGGACTAAAATTGCAGCAAAATATAAAATAACAGGACCAAAAAGTGAAAATGTTGATACTTTGTGACTGAAATTGCAATGACATCAAACCAACAGAACTAAAAATGCAATTTTGCTTTCAGTTTAATAGAAACAACCAGGCATTTTTTGAAAATTACTAAGTATAATATGAGAAGTGACAAATGACAATTATACGCACTATCGAAGGTTTGCATTTGTTTTACTCCATCTATAGTGAAATTTATCAGCTGAGATGAATTAACAGCAAAGAATCCTTACAATGTTCCCGCAATCCCTGTGCTGAGATGAGTTTTATCGGCTGCAAAACCACGAGCAAGACCAAAATCGGCAATCTTTGGTTCGAAATTCTCATCAAGAAGAATATTGCTACTCTTTATGTCCCTGTGGATTATTCTATGCTCACAACCTCCATGAAGAAAAGCAATTCCCTCAGCCGTCCCAACAATTATATTGTACCTCTCTTTCCAACTCAGAGTTCTACTCTTGCTCGTATCTGAAATTGAAAAGGCATTAGAAAAAAAGTATTTGAAAAAGAATGCTAAAACCGAGTTATACTCATCCCGATTAAAGACTCACCAAAAAGGTGCTCTTCAAGGCTTCTGTTAGGCACAAACTCATAAACAAGAAGGCTTTCAGGGCCTTCAATGCTACAGCCAAGAAGCTTCACAAGGTTCTTGTGCTCGATTCCACTTATAAGATTTACCTCATTGAAAAATTCATCGACCCATTGTCTCGTGCTGAAGAATAATCTTTTTACAGCTACCGTTTTACCATTTGGTAGAGTTCCTTTATACACAGAGCCTGCTCCTCCTTGGCCTAACTTTCTTGAAAGATCGAAATAGTTTGTTGCTTTTTCCAGTGTTTCGTATTTGAAATTCAGGTTCGATCTGTTGTATGAATATGAAATCTTGCCGAGATTTTCACGCTCTGCATTGTTTCGAGAAAATCGATATATAATTAACAAGCGCCTTTTTTGCTGTAAATTGTACATTGACTTGGTTTCTGGATATATCTCTGGGATAAAATACCTTGTTTTCGTTTTCTCCATCTTGAATAGACTGCATAGTTACCAAAAACACAGAGCATGGTGAAAGCCACAACTGGCAAAGTGATTGCCAAAATCAGACCTGCTCCAGATACCCCTAAAATAAAAAAATAAGAACAATAATTAATAGTTGATGGCAATGAATAACAAATGCCTGTATTAAATAATAAGTCAATCAGACCAAAAAATAGATAAGAAGCTAAAATAATGGGTAAACCAAGACAATCAAAAGCTGACAAATTCAAACCAAATAGGACAGGTACACAGCCCGAAAATCAGGAAAAAAAAAAGTTGAAGAAGAAAACACATAGATAATCAATCATCTGCGACTGCAAATCAATTTTCACCAAAGAAAAAAATGGTGAAAACAATCAACAAACAGTTTTAAGGACACATAACAGCAACAACATAAACAAATGCCAAGCCGATACTCAGCACGGACTCCGGTGGAGCTTGAACAAATAAGAGGCGAAAAAAGGTGAACCCACCTGAATCACTTTCAGCTCCGTCGGTGGAATTCAAGAAAAACCTTACCTCAAGTAGCAGCCGGCGTTCATAGCCCGGCCTTCCCTGCTCGGCAAACACCCTCTGATCTCTCTATTGGCCTTCGCCAAACACTCCCTACATCCTTCCCGGCTCACCGTATTCCAACACTCGGCCAACCCAAACACTCGCCGGCTGTCCCTCACCGCGTAACCCTCGTTCTCCACCGCGCTCGCCGTCAGATTATCAATCAGCGCCCTAACGTTCCTCTCAAATTCCAAATCGACCCCACTCGCCGCCCCCAGCGTGGTATTGCAGTTCACCCTGTCAAGGGCGGCGTCCACGCTCTGGTTGTAGAATTCGTACCTATCGTAGCGGAGGAAGCACCCGTCAAGGAAGATCCGGCCGGAGACGGCGGGGACGCAGCGGGGGATGCTCGTCCGAGTGGCGGCGTAGCACTGGAGGCAGTCGTCGCGGGTCAGGTCGCCGTGGCACTGGAAGAAGGTGTAGATAGGGATGCTGGTGGAATTGGCGATGTACTCGCCCCACTCGTCGGCCATCACGCGCTGCCCGAGGCCCTCCATCGCGCTCGTGAACAGAGGGACGTAGCTGCCGTTCGTCGGCGCCCTGGACTGGCTGCAGTTGAAGGCCGCCACCGAAATTCTCGGGTCGGGCATCCCGGAAGGGAGAAATCGGGCCGCGAGGAGGATGAAGAAGGGGATCCATACTTGGTTTCGGAGGTTTGTTGGGGCTGATAGATGCATCAACAGATAGCAGAATTTGATGTATTGATTCGAATTTTCAAGCGGTTGAGAGGATGAAAATAGAAAAAGAAGATAACTTTTACTTGGTTTTGTTGTTCATCAATGGAGATATTGGGTTTTCGGCAGTGATTGGTGGGCTGTAGGAACGAATCAGCAGCCTCTACCTTTTTGCGTTCTCACCGTTGAAAAGCTTCCATTTTTGTCAGAGCTAACATGTTTTATAATCACAATATACAGCGTATACGTGTAGTAATAATATTGCTTGATTGATGCTTTAGCTTGTTGTACCTTGGGTCAATTAAACTATTTTGGGGGAGCAAAATTCCACATAATGCTTGGAGTTGTTTTATTTATATTTTCTATTCCATCCAATATTTACTTAGGAGGGTCAATTGAACTATTTTGGAAAGGAAAATTCCAGATAATGCTTGGAGTAAGTGGATTTGAGATAAATATAATATATTGTTTTATTTATTTTCTATTTCACCCAATATATATTTTTTTTGATTTAATAATATTGTCCACTAGCCCTAAAATGGATTGGTCCTAACTCTATATTTATTCCCTAATATATGACAAGTAGTCTACCCCATACTATTTTTTTTTTCCCTACAAATTATAAGTGATTAGCAACTAGATATACTAATTTTCTCATACCCCATATATTAGTGCGATATTTATGATATTTTTTTTTTACAAAAAATGAGGCCAGTGGCCTAAAACGATAACAATTAGCTTAGAACACGTCAGATATAGAAAACTCCCATAAGATCATGATCGAGCCATGGCCCTAATCCCTCCGGAGGGTCCGACACACGATGCAGCCCAAGAGGATATGATCCCGCCAAACTTGTCATATAGTCCGCCGAAAAATTAGCTTCCCGATGAACATGATCGATCCGCACACTCCAGCTATAATGCAACATGCTACGAATAACTCGAACTATCGTAATATGTGCTCCAAACTCATCATCAATACCAAGCACCATAGTCCTTACACATTGGCTATCGATTTCTACGAGGACATGACGGAAGCCTAAGTCTCAAGAATGTATCACAATATTCCTCTTCTGCACAATTTGGTCCAAACCCCTCATTTACTGTGGAAAATCCTAATTTTGTGTGGAAGAATATAGGTCCACCATGACTTAGAATTTTGAAAAATCTACGAATAAAGCAGAAGACCGTGTTAAAGAATTGTAATTAACATTACCACATCTTCAGATGGGCTTTTCATTATAAGATCTTTGTCCAATTTTCCTTATTTTTTGTTTTCAATCAAGAACCAATATGAACTTTTGACAAACATAGCACTTTATAACCAAATCAAATTAATTTAGTATCATATATTATGAATAAATATTCATACACGCTCAGTTCCACCTGATATCTCGTATCTTGGAAGACACCCCATCATATAGAAATAAAAAATATTCATACGTGCTTTGATATTTGACTTCCCATCACCTGAATCAGTCAGATGAACAATAATGTACAACATTTCTTTTACATTTTTTTTTTTAAACTTCATTAAAACACCTATGAGTAGATATTAAATGAGATAAGTCGGTCGTGGGCTCGATTCTACTCAATCTCGTTTGATATACAGCCGGCCTCAGCTCACTAAGGCTTCAAAAAAAAAAATAGTGTACATTTCAATAATTCAACTTGTTAAGCTTAAATCTATTAATTAATATTGTTAAATGAGTTAGTCAAGTTTGCACTCGTCTACGAGCATGTAGGTTCACTCGACTCGATAAACCCATGGCTCGTTACGGTATATTTTCACAAATTAGATAGGTTGCTTTTGTGGAAACTCATGATTTTCACATAATTACTCCATGACTTATGCTCATTTGTTGTTGTGTCTTAACCGAGAAATGCTACAACTCACGAGGATTGACTTTTGGTAATAACACCAAAATATAGAAACAATGTGCTATCGGGGGGTTGGTAGTGA